TGCCCAGAGACCCTGCATTCCCTCCTGCTCATTTATATGAAGTGTCTTTGAATAACTCAAAGTCCATTCTTCCCCTTGTGTACTCAGGGACACCAATCCAGATTCTGTCTTCCTCTCCTGTGTCAAGTCAAAAACATTTAGCCTCATTCTTTGACACCCCTTATCAGCAAAAACTGCCTAAAAGAGTTTATTCCATAGTCCTTTTCCTCTCTTCTGTTTCTCCTGAACTCATTCAGTGATTCTTTCCGCAGCATTTGACACAGTTGATAACATCTCCTTGGAATATTTTCTTCACTAGGCTTTCAGAACACTGCTCTTCATTTTCCTATTTTACTGGTCATACGTTCAGTCTCCTTTTTATTTTTTTTAATTTTTTTTAAATTTTTATTTACTTATAATAGTCACAGAGAGAGAGAGAGGCAGAGACACAGGCGGAGGGAGAAGCAGGCTCCATGCACCGGGAGCCCGATGTGGGATTCGATCCTGGGTCTCCAGGATCTCGCCCTGGGCCAAAGGCAGGCGCTAAACCGCTGCGCCACCCAGGGATCCCTCCTTTTTATTTTTTTTAAGATTTTTTATTTATTTATTCATGAGAGACACAGAGAGGCAGAGAAACAGGCAGAGGGAGAAGCAGGCTCCATGCGGGGAACCCAATGTGGGACTCGATCCCGGGTCTCCAGGATCACGCTGTGGGCTGAAGGTGGCGCTAAACTGCTGAGCCACCCAGGCTGCCCCATTCAGTCTCCTTTGCTGGTTCTTTTCCTGTCGCTAACTAAATGTTGGAGTGCCCCAGGGTCCATTCCTCAGAACTCTTCATTTATACTAACTTCTTTAATGATGTCAATCTAAGACTTTCCATACTTATTGACTCCTAAATTTCTATTTCCAGCCTGATCTCTCCCCAGATCTCAAGCACATATATACAGCTACCAACTCAGTATCTCTTATTTGGATATCTAATAGACATTCCAAACTCAACACACCCTAAACCAAATTCGTGGTTCACCATACCCACTCAAATTCCTCCTCTTGCACTGTTTCTCATGTGAGCAAATGTCAATGAAACATTACTAGTTGCTTAAGCCAAAAACTTTACAGTCATGCTTGATTCTTATTTTTTCACACTTAAAACCATGAGCAAGGGGATCCCTGGGTAGCTCAGCGGTTTAGCGCCTGCCTTTGGCCCAAGGCGTGATCCTGGAGTCCCAGGATCGAGTCCCGTGTCGGGCTCCCTGCATGGAGCCTGCTTCCTCCCTCTGCCTACGTCTCTGTCTCTGTCTCTCTGTGTCTATCATGAATAAATAAATAAAATCTTTTTTTAAAAAATGAGCAAGACCTGTAGGCTCTCTTTTTAAAATACATAAAAAATCCATGTTTAAATATTTTTAAAAACTATTTAAAACTTTTTAGATATTGTGGGATCTGGGTAGCGCAGTTTGCTGAGGCCCAGGTTGTGAGGTCAAGCCTCATGTTGGGCTCCACACTGAGTGCGGAGTCTACTTGGATTCTTTCTCTCAGCCCCTCCCTACCCCACGCTTGCTTGCTTGCTCTCTGTCTAAAATATTTTTTTAGGGCAGCCCCAGTGGCGCAGCGGTTTAGTGCCGCCTGCAGCCCGGGGTGTGATCCTGGAGACCCTGGATCGAGTTCCACGTCAGGCTCTCTGCATGGAGCCTGCTTTTCCCTCTGCCTGTGTCTCTGCCTCTCATTCTCTCTCTGTGTCTCTATGAATAAAAAAATAAAATCTTTTTTTAAAAAACTTTTTAGGTATGATTCTGATATTGTGATTGTTTTTGAAACACTTGTATTTTAATGATACATATGGAAATATTTCTAGATGAAATTATGTGATGTGTGGGCCCTGCCTCAAAATAATACAGAATGGAAAAAATAAGTAAGAATATGGAAGAAACCAGACTGACCATGAGCTGATGATTGTTGAAAGTGGGCTATGTGTCTGTGTATATGGAAGTTCATTATACTCTAATACTTTATGTTTGACATTTTCTATAATAAAAAATTATAGTTCTCATCGTGACCAAAAAAAATTATAACTGTGTGTTTAGGATGTTAACTAGACTTATTGTGGTGTTCATTTGACAATATATACATACTTACATACATCAAATATGTTGTATACCTGAAACTAATATTATATGTCAGTTACACCTCAATTGAAGAAAACTGTTAAATAAAATATATCCAGAATGTAAACACACAATCTCCATACCTACCCCTATGGCCGAAGTCACCTTCTTTCATGTGGCTTATACCAATCATCTTCCAAATGATCTCCCTGCTTCTACTTTTACCCTTTTATAATCTACTCTTAACATAGCAGCAGTCTATTATTAAAATATAAGTCAAATCACTAGCCTACTCAAAACCTTCCAAGGGCTGCTATGATCCATATCACCACTCCCCCTCAAACCTCATCTCCCCTTTACCCCTCTCTTATTTGTTTTAGCCATACTGTAATTCTTTTGCCTTAAGGTCTTTGTACATTCTGTTCCCTCTGCCTAGAACACTTTCACAAAAATAGGCACACCATTCCCACTTTTCCTGCAAGTCTATTTTCAAAAGACTTTATCGATGCAACCTCTCCATAACCACCTTGTATAAAAGAGTGACACTCCACCATCAATGCTTCTCTCCCTTGCCCTGGTTTATTTTCTTCACAGTAATTACCATCAGACATTACTATGTATTATTTTCTATGCTATGATATTTCTATTAAAGTAAGTTTGTATATTTTGTTCACTGCTATAATTTGAAAGACTAGAACACTTCTTGGTGCACAGCAAGTGTTTGACAAATAATTGAAGGCCGGCATTGAGATCCTCATTTTATAATGATGAAAGCAAGATAAAGAGGCTAAGTAACTTGCCCAAAGTAATACAGATGCTTTGACCAAAAGCTTTTGTACTCTTCATTCTTTTTGTTTGGAATGCTTCCCACGTTCAAAGCAGGGTCTTAATCTTTGTCTTCCATTGAAACGTGTGTACTTTCTACTCCAGCTGCAGAAAATACTTCACAAGGTTACCAGGAGGATTAAATGTGAATATGAGCATGGATAAACTTTGTAGAGTGTTAGGCCACATGCAGTTGTTAGCCCTTGTGGTTTCATCTCTAAGATCAAAGTCAAACTAGCCTGTTTCTTCAAGCTTATTTTTATCTAGATGTGAAAATAGAACTATTTTCTAGGAAGCCTGAATAAATTTCAGGTATGAAAAGTTTAGATAGGATGTCTTATGTTACTAACATGTGGTTTCCTGCAAGTAAGTAATGGAAATAAGATATTTCAGTTATTGAAATATTCAGAGGTGAGCACCTGGCCAAAAGCACAGACACATGACTGTGGTTTAAATATAGCTCCCAGTTTCATCTCTCAGCTGCAGATGTGTTTTTGAGGTATATAGATAGCTTATATGAGATATAGTCTGCCTGTTAGCTGATGTAGAATAATCGAATCAACTAAGTTCTCCTCAAAAGTTTTTCAAAACACTAATTTCGCCAAGGAATTCTGTACCTGAGCATTACATACCCCAAATGAGAAGCACAATGATTTAAACATTTATGTATTTGAAGAATAAACCACATTCATACTTTTCTTCCAATGATCTGATTATTTGCATAAGTATTTTAAAATCCTATTCAAGTTTACAATTTATCCTATTTAACCAATGGAGAAAAACAATGTTCATGGTGAAATAACTTGTCCAAATTGCCTTAGTGGGAAAAAACAAAATAGAATGAAAACACGGAAGAGTCAAAATTTCTTCTCTAGCTAATGGTATTTACCTCATGATTTGCAGCTTTTACAGCATACTAGATCATATTAGAATGATATGAAATTTTCATATCTGACTGGTTCTAACCTAAAAAAACAAATTTCATGTGGTTCAGATTAATATTAGTAATAGAACACTTAAAACCACAGCATGTATATTCAGGAGAGAAATTCAACAATGTAACATCTTTTTCATGAAGGTGCTAAGAGAGCAAAAAGTAAGAGTTTCATATCATGTGTAGAAGAGCTGTAATTAGTAGCATAAAATTATAGTAAGTGATTTTGTAAAGCCCAATATTTTATAAACACTAAATTTATAATGTCAAACAAGATTACAGGTTGTCTATACTGAACTAACTAAAGAACACCATGTCAGGAAGTCCAAAATCAGGTTTGATCCTTTTATCATCCTTTTAACTCTACCATATTCTATGACCCACAGTACTGTCTTAATCCAAAACATTCATTTCTCAAGTGCATATCCCAACACAGGGTAAGAGGAAAGGACTGGAGAGGGGATGAATTTCAAGAAAAAGAATAAATCAGTGACTCCTGCAGTACGGGGGGGGGGGGGGTGGTGGCACAGATTCCCACACCTGACCTATAGCATATACTAGTAAACTGTGAATAAATGAATGGGTGAACGAATGCCTTATTAGTAAGTAGTTTCATCCCTAATTGTGAAAGATAAGATCTTAAGTGATATATCCAAAGAATATAGAATCATATAATGTGTTTTAGAAGGAACCTTAAAGATATCTATCTAATCTAGTGTGTATTTTGTAGTTGAGAAAATCAAGGCTTGGAATTAAATGATTAGCCCAAAGTCACACAGCCTGTCATTATCAAAGACTAGAATTTATGTCTCCTGCTTCTCAGCGTAATACTCCTTCCACTATATCTTCATATAAAGCATCTTTCTCTTCATTAGAAATAATTAGCATAAAACCTTCATATTCTGAATACAACAGAGTAGTCTTATTTAGTATTACAATAAGAAGGCCTTAAAGATTATTTAATCTAGTCCCTTATTTTACAGAGGAGAAATCTATGATGCAAAATGTTAAACGACTTGTCCAAGGTTAGCCAATTAGAGAATAAACAAATTCAGGTGCCCAAATTCAGAGCACATTCCACTTCATGCTGAAGGACATTAGTGTACTAAAAGCTTATTTGCTTTTACTTACTTTGATGACATATTATACTTCACATGTGAGCAACAGGAAATGTTTATTTATATACAAGTACATGAGAAAGCAATTTCCATTCATCTTTTTAAAAAATTTTTACAAATAAAAAGTTATTAATACATTCATCCTTTGCACACAAAATACATTCTTTTTAGTTTTACTCTCAGTATGAATTTTGCTTAATAAAAACAAGACAATGGACAGATGGTTTGGCGATTTGACAATCTTTTTTCAAGATGGAAAATCCAAACTTTAAAGACAGTCAATATGTAAAGGAAAGTAGATATTAAAAGTGCTCCTTCATTGAATCCTAGAAGATTGAATGAGTACTCCCTTTCTAACGTGGTTTGTAGCTTAAATCCCTTAAAACAATGCAGAGGATTTTAGAAGTTCTCTATGCATTGACAACTCAATTTCTACAAGACTGAAATAGTCTTCATGAAATTGATTATTATATATAAATGGTAGGCTCATAGAAAGATTCCTATGGACATATTGGGAAGTTAGCCATTTTTCAGAGGTCTCCTAACTGACCAATTGACCTAAGATTGTAAGTTGTAACATCCAGGTGGCATTTTTAAGAGGTTTTGCTTAAGTGAACACAAATGACTTGATTTGTTGGACTAATCACTTTCAAGAAAGATGTGAAAATATACATCCACAGAGAAAACTTGTACACAATGTCCATAGCAGCATTATTTATAACAATCCCCAAATGGAAACAACCCAGATGTTCATCAACTGATGAATGGACAATTGTGGAATATACATACAATGGAATATTATTTAGCCATAAAAAGAATGTATTGATTCATGATACAACATAAAACTTGAAAACATTATGCTAAGTGAAAGAAGTCAGACACAAAAAAACCCACATATTGTATAATTATATGAAATGTTCAAGATAGGCAAATCCAGAGAAACAGAAAGCAGGTTAGTGGTTATCAGATGCTGGGGGAGGAGGGTGGAGAAGTGATTGCTAATGAGTACGGTTTCTCTTTGGGATACTGAAAATGTTCTAGACTTAGATAGTGGTGAGTGTTGTACAACTTTGTGAATATACGAAAAACACCAAATGGAACACTTTAAAGGGGTGAATTAATTCCAAAAAGAGGGCTACAACTTCATTAAAAAAAAAAAAAAAGATTTTAATGAAGTTCCTGTTCCCTATCCCTCCTATTTAATGTTGATTGAAGTTTTTATACAATCACCTTTCTATAGAATGTTTTCAGCTAAGTGCACTCAGGTCATTATGGGCTTATATTTCTAACAGGCTTTTTATTGAACAAACAAAATACATGAACATATAGGACAATACATTGTACTGTTATTTTCTGCATATTAACATTTAAAACTAAGTATTACGCCTGTGCTGAAGCAGATGGTTAGATTTTTATATACTGGTGTGTTCAGATATTACTGAGAGCCTATGCTTAAAACCAGCCAAATATTAATAACTGAGTTCATAAGATTTGATGAATAACATGTTTGTTAAAACTATGTGTATGTTAAAGATCCATGTTTTAAAGGAAAGAGATAGGAAAAGGGGGGAAGTCAGGGGTTCTCTAAGTCTTCATAAAACAGCTTCTCTAAATATTTTAACTAGCTGCTGAGAAGAACTCCAGAATGATATATTTTGCATTTCATTTCATCCCTACACTAAAAGTCATGCATTAAAGTATAGTAATAATATATGTGGGGCATAACTTTTTCCCTTTAGGTGATCAAAAAATGTCTTCTTAACCCATTATTATTTGAAATTTGAAACAGAGTTTTGGAGGGGTGTGTGTGTGAGAGTGTGTGTTGCTGAAAACAACTTACACACTTACATTTATGTAAGTGTATTTACATAAATACATTTATATGGCTCCCTTACATATCAAAGGAGCTCCAACCATCTGGTATGTCTAGAACACTTCAGTGAGCAGAAATTAGAAGCCAGCGTTCCAGTCATTTGAAATTTTCAACAAAGGGACATGAAAGCCCCAACACATCTTAAAGGGATAAGAAGATTAATTTTTTTAAAATAAATCAATTGACATTCATTGTCAAATAGCCTACAAGAAAGTTCCAGTAGCATTCTGCAGTTGTATAGGATGAGAGAGTATTTCTAATGATTACATTCCAGAAAGCAATATGTTTAGCAGCTGTTTTTCAGAGGGCTTATCAAGTTTTGCTATTGTTATTTAATCCAGGCATAACTATGTAACTTTAAACAAAACTGTGGACCATTCAACTAACTAGTGATAAATTATCCTAACAGACCAGATTCTTTCATTATTCTCTACATAAACTTTTGCTTTATTAGGCATTGGGTACTCCAATTTTTATTTCAGAATACAGTGTACATGTAGAAAGGGACAGAAACCCTGCAAAATTTGGGTGTTGGTTATTATGTCCATCAAGTATATGTCATCTATGAAATGAAATTCTAAAAACAGGTGACAAAACTAGGTTTCATGACTCCATTTTTGTCAAAAGGAGAAAACAAAAGCCATAACCAGATTACTTCAGAATCACACTGTGTTATCAAGTACATAAGGAAGAAAAATACATGGATAATTGATGAGTTAATCAACCGTAAGATTATGATCTGTATCTGATATTAGTAAGAAACTAAGAGTTTATAAATACCTAGTCTGACATTCCCCAAGAGAATAATGATTATGACCTTAATGAGCTTTTTCTGAATGTCATTAAGGGCAATAATAAATGGCAAACATGGTCCCTTAAAAAGAAGATAAGATCAACCCATTTTTCTTCTTGTGGAGAATGGGCCCAAGAAGAAAGAGGTTCAAATAGCACTGTGAGGTATTTCAGTAATAAGTTAAGTTTCCTGATAATGAGTTTGCAACCCTGGAATTGCCTATTGGGAAAGAGTGCAAGAATACCTTTCCTGAAGTATGTAAAGAAATAAAGAGACTCTTGGGTAACAGTAATGCCCAAAGGCAGAAAGATGGATCAAATAAGTGACTTCCTTTTAAGGCCCTTTCAGAAATGGTGCTCTTTGAAGTTGAGAAGTGTTCTTTGTTTTGTCCTAAAAATCTATACTTTTATCAGACCATCCAAAATCTGCCCTTAATTAAGAAGAAAAGAACTAATATTTGAGTGCATACTGTTTACTGAGCACTGTCCTAACTTTTGATTTATCTTAACTAATTTTCACAATAATCCTGACAGGTATTATGAGTCTATCTCTCACAGATAAGGAAACTGATGCTCAAGAGATTATGCTTTGCATAAAGTTACAGCTAATTCATGGCAGTACTAGGACTCCTCATACCTAACCTGGTGTTCCCCCTTTCCCCCTTCTACACATCTCCGTCATCACTCCCTGAAATGTTAAAGTTAACAACCCAACAAGGATTCCCTTAGGAACTAGAACACAACATCTCCAGAAATTCTGCTCTAATTCAGTGGGAAAGTAAAAATTTGTCTCATGTACCAAGTAAGCCAATTAAAGAGATGGCTAGCTTTTGTGCCCTGACCTCTAATTTAAAGGAGTCAAAGAAACTTTACCCAAACTGAAGTGTTTCTCACCATATTGATGCAAGACCAATGACTTTATAAAGAATAATGAAAAGCCATCTATCAGCCTAACAGGGATGCAAGTTATTTTGCAGATGGGATTATTTGGTCATGGACTTTATTAGTAAATGTTGCTTATAGTTATCTCTGATTTTTGACAATCCATGTTTTGTTACTTTTTCTACATAAAGAATTTAGGCTTGGTTCTATTAAAATAATTTGCAGATCATGTTTTTTCAAGAGAATCAAGCCAACTAACCAAGTCATTTGAGGCTGTGCCAAAATAGGTCATAGGATCTGCTTTATGTCATTAACACACACCAGCCCATCCCTAATGGAAGCTGCAAAACTTCATGTTGGCATATTCATGGGATCTATAACTGAAGATTCTGTTCTGCTAAAAATGCCTGGTCTGAAATCCTAGGTACTGATTATTCACTAAACTGAGCATGGCCTATGTTTGGCAAGTGACAAGAACATGATTTCTATGATTTCACATAACTTCTATTAAAACAATACCTTTTCTTCTTTTTAACTCAAGAACCAGTTTGTGATTTCAACTGAACATCAGTGAATGGATTGACAAAGCAATCCCAGCCTAGGGCACAATGACAAGCCAGCCTCTTAGCCAAACAACATGTAACCAACTCCTTCCAGGAGGGTTGGCAAATAGCAAAGCCTTTAAAAAAAAATCATTAGCTGTGAGTCAATAGATACTTAACTGTTATGAGAGGCAAAGTGCTACAACATAAGTTAATAGGTCATCTAGTCCAACCTCCAACCAATGTTGAGATCCTTTCCCACATCATCTAGCATCTGCTTGACAGATACTATTATCTAAGCAGACCCTTCCATGGTGACTCATCTTTTGAGAAAGTTCTCCCTGACATACAGCCCAAATCTGTGGCCTTATGGTATTTATAATCAGTGGGCACTCCACTGCTTTGACCAGAGACTTGCTCTAATCCACTAGTTGTATTCCTGTCTCTTTCCTAAGCTAACTTCTTCAAACATTCTTCGAGTGCCATAAATTTTAAATTCCTTCATCATCTTTGTTATGCTTCAGTTTGTTTTTAATTTTAAAGTATAGCTCCCAAAAATGACTGTAACATTCCAACATCATAGACTTAGGAAAGAAGATGAAGTGTCATTTCTCTGGTTCTAAGATTACTATATTAATTGTTTGAAGGGATGATAACTTCTTAATTCAGTATGCCTTCTACCTAGTGTAATGAACGTAAGGGAAGGCAGCTTTCCTTTTAAACACAAATGTACTCGTGGGACAGAAATGAAATTTGAAAAGAAAGAAAAGCAAACACATCCCCCTCTTATCCCAAAATTAGTGCTCAACCAGATTGCTTATGTGGAGTGCTGTTTGTCTGAACAATGAGAGACACATCTTTTCACTGTTTTTGAATTTCAATTTAAGTCTCAAAAGTATTATGATGGCATTAAAATGCATCTGTCAGGACCATGGTTGAGGAAAAGTACATAAACAGTTCCAGTTTAAAAAAAAAAATCTAGAGAAAACAATGGGCAAACCCTAGAAGAGCTCTTCCAGAGGCTAGTAAGAGTATTCTGTAAAATACGAATGGCCATAAAATGTAGCATTCTGCAGGATTAAGAAAAAGAAAGTGTCTATCTTAAGAGCCATTGGTTTGATATATGGGATGAAAAAAAATGGAAGTTTTTTTCTGGTTATAAGATGATATCTTATGTGGCTTCGTTTATAAAAAAGATGTTTTCACTTTAGTCAGAAGAGCAATTCAAAATCACTTGCAACTGATATCTTTTCAAAATGATTCATTAACTGAAATTTGATGCTGAATCTGGAAGAATTATATGTAATAGTGAAGGAGATAAAAGACAAATCATTGACCTAACACTAGAAGTCACCAGTGTCCTCTAAAGGTATATATTCATGAATAGAATCCAGTCCTCTGTTAATTTCTGCCTCCCCTCTCCAACAAATCTAATTGCTTAAAATAATCCTAATCCAAATATATTATTTTGGCTAGTGATTTTTATCTTTCTTTCAGAAATTGACACATTGCCAAATCAATTCATTTGACTTTCATTTCTACTTACACTCTTGCCACTTTACTCAGGAAGAGATAGCAACATGACATGAGTAGAAAAGGTAGGGAAAAAGAAAGGTCAGGAAAGCTAATTGCCTAATCTAATCTGCAGAAAGGATAATTGGCCCTGCATAATCAAAATTAAATGTTAATTCAATAGAAATAATAAAAGCATGTAAAGAAATAAAAAGCCTCATATAGGTAAAGGAAAAAGCACAAAATCCACTCAGGATACAGTCTACACAAAGCCATAATAAAATATTAATATCAGCGAGCTATATGATTTCACAGAATCTCCCAAATCTTTGACATGAATATCATGTGTTTTCACTGGAAATTGAAAAAAGTTTTGCCATATAAGTGCCAATTTTATTTATTGGGGAGAGACAAAGAGTGAGAGAGAACAAGCAGGAGGAGCAGCAGAGGGAGAGGGAGAAGCAGACTCCCCACTGAGCAGGGAGACTGATGTGGGGCTTGATCCCAGGATCCTGACCCGAAGGCAGATGCGCAACTGGCTGAGCCATTCAGGTGCCCCATAGTAACTTTATTACACCAAAAATGGAAGCAGACATGGACTCTGATAGTGTGAGGCACATTAAGCCAAATTGAATTATGAGAGAGCAACTCTCTTTTTCATCCACCATTAATAAATGAGAATTCATTTTTATTTAAGAAGGCTCATCTTAGCAAATATTGCCATGACAATAACAACTAGTAAACAAGCCAGTGAGTGTAGCTCCTGGTCTGGGTTAAGATGACCACATTTAATTAGTACCCTTTCTCAAATTCTATTTTAGAAATTTCTACATAACTGGCAAAGCTCCACTTGGCACTAAGTCATTTATTCAACTAACAGTTATTGAGCACCTACAATATTGTCAGGGATTGTTCTCAAACTAGAGATATATCAGTGAACAAGTGTCCACAAGGCCTAATCTGGAATTCACACAACTAAGGTGGGGAGGAAAGCTCTAAAATTCCCATGTATCTCTGCTTATGGACCATGGATGGGGTGACTGACTGTAAATTACAGAAAGGCTGGGGGAGGGGGACAGGGAAGGAAAGGGCCAAGAACAGAACTATTTAATCCCCTTACAATTATGGCCAAGGGTAGACAGAAGCAGCTGAGCCCTAGGGAATATGAATTTCAGAATGCAAGAGTGGTCCTAGAAGTTGTCGTTCTATGACTAAATTTGTCCAATCTAACAAAGTCTAAGTTCACAAAGCAGTTTTACTTTCAACACACTTGCTGCTGTGGAGACAAAGTTGGGTCATCACATGGGATAGTTGGATTTTTGCCCTAAATGAAAGACAGTAAATCTAAATCTATTGACATTTCCTCACAGTTTAAAAAGAGAAGTTCTTCTTCTACCCTCCTTCATCAACTTGTTTTCTTAATAGTTTTATATTTGCTGGCTTAATGGAGAAATGAGGAGGGAAAAACGATTATAAATGATTTTGGTTGGGGTTTATTAAAATGATTTTTCTTTCCTGTAGAAACAGATTCAAAAGAAAAGCAATTCAAACTTCTGGGATCTCTTTCTCTCACCCATAGGACCTGGACAAACAGTGAAGCCAACCAAAAGTATCAATCTCTTATACAATATGTATAATCTGTATACAAGAGATGGGTCACACGAATCTGCTAGAGAAATGCTAGAAATGCTTTATCAATATCATGTCTCTATGTGCCTCAGTTCTTTAAAATTAAATAGCTTTCAAACATCAACACATCAGGACTGAGATTGCCACCATCTACAGCAACAGAATTGCATATCCTACCCTTATTCCATTACTCATCCCTAAGTGATGCCAAGCAGCAAGCTACAGAAACATCTGACACCATGAACAACATACAGGTTTAATTATTTCCTCAATTTGCATTTATATCAGTGAACAAATTGGAAGGCATCAAAGTATGGCACTAAAGAAATTAGTAACACATATTCAGCAGCACATCTTTCATTTTGAGTCTTGTTTTAAAATTGGCTAAGTAAAGGCATATACACCTCCATTTGAATTGGAGATTTGCAGTAACACATCATATAAAGGGTGAGAGGAAAAGAGTAAAGAATGGGGAAACCAGGAAAGAAAGGAAAAGAAAAAGAAACAGGAAAGAATGTATGATCATGAGTCTGAGAGGAACATTATTACATGAAGAAGGGACAAATAACAGCTCCATCTGCTTCCACAAGCAGAATTTTTCTAAGGTAATTGAAGATACAAAAGTGGTTCATGAGACTTTTCATCTGTTGCTTATTGTCACTTATCATACTAAAAACATGTACAAAATTCTAAGCCTTGGTCTGTCCAAGATGGATAGTACCAGGAAGTAAAAGATGTCACCTGCTGTCAAGGACTGTGCTCTGCTTAGAACTCTGCATCGCAGTCCATTAATCCACAGTATTTTGGTCAGATCTGGTCTGTTTACTCATACTACTCATAACGTCTCAGAATTAGTCTTTTATATTAGAATATCACCAACTTTTTTTTTTCATTTTCTAACATTTTCATTTACTTAAAGGGCAGGAAAGATGAGAGAACAGGAGAAGAAAATGATAGAGAATTAGAGGGGACAGAATTTGAGAGGGAAAGTATTTTATTTTCCAACAGATCCACCCTAGAAAAGATAGTAATGAGACTTTGAGAAAGAGTGCCGATTCATGGACTTCCCTTATTATTATTTTTTTTATTTCAATGTAATACATTTAAGGACATCAATATACTAAAATGTTTGGTCTGTGAAAGAGCAGAATCATTAGCACCAAAAGGAGTCATGGAGCTTGTATATATTATTAAACCAATGATTGTTACTGTTGGTCATGGGAAAAAGTTTCATTTCATTTTTACATCCCAAAGTTCTTGAAAGTGCCTGTGGACAAGGGAAATAACACTTTTCAAAGTCTCCATGGAGTCATCAATACGCACCACAGAGGCAGTACTTGGCCTTCCCAGTTTTGGTTTATCTGGTAGACAGGAAAACCAGGGCCCCCAAAAGCCCTAAATAATAGCCCCCACATGCACCCACTGACGTTCAGGAGGGATCCCTACAGTGCAGTTCCCCCTGGACTGTGTTCAGGAATGCGCTTTTACTTGCTTTTTTTTTTTTTTTTTTTTTTTTAAAGAACAAAAGCAACATGCTCTGCAGATCATGGAGCGCCTAGTGCAATTTTCTCCTTGCTCCAACTCCTGACTGCAAAAGGATGAAACCGTTATATGTTCTGCGAATGCTGGCCTGTGGACAAAGCCTTTGGCCTGCCATGCTTTGTAAGCTCTGGATCCCACAGGAATCAGAAGGTCTGAGAGCGGGAGCCACAGTCATCACCAGATCTTCCCAGCAATTCGGAGCCCATCAGGGCAGCTGCTGATTCCTTTTGCTTCTCCTCGCCTCAGCCTTTAGTTGAAATTACAACAAGTCAAGTAGCTGATGCTTTTCCCTTCTCCCGGCAAGGGTGAGGATACATTGTTTACAAGTGTGTTCTGTCTGGCTTCACTGATGAGGCGGCATGCTAAGTCAAGGAAGAGTTTCTCCACATTATCGGATTCCTTGGCTGAGGTCTCCAGGTAATACATGTCCTGAGCCTCTGAGAATTCTTCAGCTCTCTGTTGGGAGACCTCTCTCCTTTCAGCCAGATCAATCTTGTTGCCTAGAACAGGGATAAATCAAAGAAGGAAACATCATTTGAGCGCGGCAGCATCAAAATTCAATTTCATATCTGAAGTCAAATCAAACAGATGGGCAAATAAAGCAAAGCAAATGTGGCTGTGATCACTGGAATGTTTATTTTAAAATATCAATGCCATTTGTAATGGCAAAGAACTGGACACAATCCAAATGCCCATAAGCCGGGCACTGGCTTCAGTGAAGTATGGTACATCTGCACAATGCAGTTATTTGCCACTGTAAAAAGCAATGAGGAAGGTCTCCATATACTGCCATGGAATGAGACACGAGGATATACTGGTAAACAAATAAAGCAAAGTAGAAAAAAAAGGTATATAACATACAACTAAGAAAAAGGGATAAAAAATACATAGATGCATGCTCACAAACTTATTTTATTAATGTGAGAATAAGCCAAAATTTTACTTTTAAAGATAATGGTTACCCATGAAAGGAATGAGGTTGAGGAGATAGGGAGGGGTAGAAACTTGATCTTTCTAAATATAATTTGTCTAATCCATTTGATTTCAGAATCTTAGAAATGTTTCACATAATTATACAACTATAACTATATAATGGATACAAAATTAAATTTAAAAAGCAATCCCTACAAATGCAAAGCAAAATGGAACAAATGAACCTGTTTATCATGAAATGGCATAACCACACAGAGGGGAACTATTTCGACTTTAAGATCTAGTATTTTAACCATGTGTCCCCAGTGGTATATACTCTAAGGACAAAAGAACTGAAGGAAAACATCTTGAACTGTTTCAGGGATCATCCGGTCAGTGACAGTGTGAGTATTGTTATTCTGAGGAGGTTCTATGGATATTAGGGCATAAAGCAAATGAGTATTAGTATTAGTATCATTGGGTCTGAGATTTGGGGCATGGGAAAAAGGAAAGAGAGAACGATTAATGAGGTTAACTAAATTTTTTACACTCCTGAATTATAAATGGAGTATCAGTGTGAATAATACATGGTGGATTTTATCTTTAAGATTTTTTTCTACCTCTATTCCCCTGGAAACCTGACAAAAGTGGTATGTCAACTGTGTTGCCCAGCAACAGAGCTTATAGAAGTGACCCCTGACTGATAAAGTCCATCTGACCTAGGAATTCAGTGTATGAATTATAAATATCTAGTGGAAAGTCAGAACTTTGGGCTTCCCTGAGTATGGTGGCTCTTCACTTGGAAAGACCCTGAAAGTTAGGTCTGTGGAGTTGTTACAAGAGAGACTGGTTCCTATTAAGGCTTCTAGGCCAAGGCAGGTCCATCACATGCCTGACATAAGCCTTTCTCTTCACACATGAACTGTTCCAGGGGGTCCTGGACCACTATATGGACTGCTATTGAGGATTACTTCCACTGAGACGGAATGTCTGATGCTGACCTGCTATTAAGCCGAATTTTCTGTCCTGTATCCTTCTTAGTGAATATCATGCCAAGTGTGGCCTATTGTAGTCTTGTGAGTCAAAGTGTTTGGTGGAGCCTAATAGAACCCCCTGTGGGCACTACAGAATTCACCACACACACACACGCACACACACACACGTTCTGTAACTGCAATGCTAAAAGCAATGACCACTCACTAGTAAGGAAGATTCCTATCACCTTGGTTGTGGCCTCTAAATATAACTTCCCATTAATAATAAACAGCGCTTCTTCTTTCTTTTTTCTTTCTTTCTTCTTTCTTTTCTTTCTTTTTTTTTAATAAACAGCACTTCTTAAAGAGATGGCTAATTCCTGGTCTGGGGCATGAAATGCACAAATTGTGCCTGGAACACTTAAACCAGAAAGCAAGTGAGGTCAGTGTCAAAAGGTCATATCTACAGGACTCAGGAGACCATTTGAAGCAGCTCCTCTCTCAGAGTTGGAACAATTGGACTATCAATCATAACAATTGCAAGGGCCTAGAATATACTGAATATATCTAAATTAAAATAATATTCAAAATGTAAACAAATTTTAGTTGTTACTGGAAGATACTAGGGAAACAACTCATTATTTTAAAATGTGGAAAAAATTCTTAAAAGATAGTCAAGGATCTTTCTTGGCTATTCTATAAGACCTGTACCTCAGAATATCAACTAGGAAGCATATTTGCTAAAAAGGAAAACAAAAGAACTGAATCTGACCAGGCCTCTAAACTTACCTACAAATCTGCAAGAAATACAGGTGATGGAAGAACCTGTCAAGTGACACTACAGTGGTGAAATAACAAAATTCAGACTTGAAAACTCTGAAGGATAAACAAATGCTTTAACAAATTCCAAAGGAGAAAAAATGGAGGGATAACCTACAGGTAAAAGGAGAATTCAAAGACACAAAAATCAATTAGAACATACAAGCTTTATTTGGATCTTTGATTTGAACAAATTTTTAAGAAATGTATGAGTCAATCTAGGAAATCTGAACATTGTCTAAATTTTTGATGCTATTAAAGAACATTTTTTAGGTCTGAAAAGGGGTTTGTGGTAGGTTCTCTTCTTTAAAAATCTTCCTTTAAAGATATACATTGAAATACTGAAAGATAATATAACATCTGAGATTTGCTTCAAAATAATCTGAAGGCAAGGGGAAACAGCATAGAAAGGAAACAGATAAAATAAGATTGGCCGTGAGTTGATAATCACTGAAGCTGGGAGATGTGTACATGAGGGTTGGTTATACCACTTTTTCTACTTTTGCTTATGTTTGAAATTTTCCATAATAAAAGTTTTTTTTTTAAAACCAGTGCCTCTTTCATACTAAATGGACTAATTATCTCCCACCAAATCTCCATTTAACTTCCTTAGACAGAATCCCAAGGAATAATGCTTTAACTCAAGTTCTCAAGGGCTTTCTGTAGAATAGAAAGAAGCCCAAATTCTGAGATGGGTGTTTCAAGTGCTTCATGACAAACATTCTCCAGTGTGCAAGAGGGTTCTCAGGAATGGACACAGAGCGCTAGCTCACAGAGGGGCACTTAACTCAGCAGTCTGAAGGAAAAGTCCAGCAATTTGTTACAAAGCAGCACATTACAGTTGGACAAATACAAGGCTTGGAGTCGATCTTACATGCCGTGTAACCTTGGGTAAAGAACTTCACCTCTCTGAACCATGATTTCCTCATATGTAAATTAAGAATTATTACACATAAATTTCCTAATATGATTCCTGGCACAGGTGTGCTAGCTATAATGCTTACTGTAAGTGTTTACTTACCTTATTGTTAACCATAATTTCTGACTTAACAATGTTTCTGAGATTCTCTACAATGTTTCTGAAATTCCAAAATTCAAGTCTTGCTAGAATTTATAGTAATGTTCCTTTTTAGGAAGAAAACATTTTTTAAAAAGATTTTACTTATTTATTCGTGATAGACAGAGAGAGAGAGGCAGAGACAAAGGCAGAGGCAGAGGGAGAAGCAGGCTCCATGCAGAGAGCCAATGTGGGATTCGATCCCAGGACCCCAGGATCATGTCCTGAGCTAAAAGCAGACACTCAATTGCTGAGCCACGCAGGCGCCCTGGAAGAAAACATTTTAACAGCCATATATTATTAACATTTTTCATCACCACTAGAGGAGTTTATAACAATCCAATCCATGTCACTGCAATTCCACTGTTAATGGTTATGTATTTGTAACCACAGAAAATCATGGGTTGTTTTCTGCTTTTCCCCTTTACTAAACAGAGGTTCTATCCTCCCACAAAATGAAACAAACTGCAGAATTTCCCTTAGTGGATTCTTTCTGAAATTAGAACTTTTCAAGTCAGCATGAATATAAGAGGAGGAAAAAAAATCTTTTTTTTTAGACAATAAGCAATTGCTTCACGAATAAATTCTTTATCAACTAAAGAGATATGCTGTACCTCTAGACCAGCAGTTTCCATGATTTTGTAACTAGATTTATTTCTTTTTGGCAATGTTTAGCAGCCCACATAACTTTCATGGTAGTCCACCTTCTTCCCTAGAGCCTCCATTGACAGAAAAATCAATCAGCAATATTTTCTACTTTACTCTTCTAAACCATCAACTTGGGATAGGACCTACTTCATTTTCTCTTTCTCTCTTCAATTTCAGAAGAACTGAATGTTGACTGCATGAATTATATAGCTGTACACTATATTATTGGAAGGTACCAAGGCACAAGCATTATGTGATTATAAATTCTCTGGTGGCCACAAATCAATTTCCCCCCTCATTAGTCCTTACTTACCCACTAGCACAGTGATGACCTTGTTGCTGGCATATTGTTCTATCTCCCGCAGCCACTCAGGAAGGCAACGGAAGGATTCCTCGCAGGTTATGTCATAGGTGAGGATCAAGGCATTGGCGCTTCGGTAATAACTCTGGGTAATGGACCGAAATCTCTCTTGACCTGCTGTGTCCCAGATCTGAAGCTATAAAGGCATAAGAGAAAGATCAGGTTGGAAAAGCAGAAAAGAAAGTATTGCCTTGCTTTAGTTTAGAAATGGAAACACTTCACTCAATTTCATGGTTATTTTCTGCCCTAAGAAACAAACAACAACAAAAACACTTTTTTTTTGTTGTTGTTTAATGTGGTAGGTGTATCTGGTTAGGGAGAGGGGATTGCTTTGTTTTGGGTTTTTTTTTTCTTTATTATATTACCTAAGAATCTCTTTTATTCTTTAAAAAAAACTTACTGAGCATTTATTATACATCAAGCTCTAAGCATTTTACATATAACATAATCAATGAAGTAGGTACTATTACTATATCCATTTCTCATGTGAGGAAACTGAAGCACAGAGTGATTAATCAAGTTGCTCAGTGTCTCACAGCCAATATGTCCCAGAGTCAATTTTACCAGGCACTCAAGTCCCAAAGTTCAGGCTCTTAAATACAATGACGTATTACAAACGTCAGGATACAGAGCAAGCTGTCATTCTGTGATTGCTGGCATTTTAGACAGCAAGTGGAGCAGGAGAACATCCAACCTCAACCACCTTTTCCAGTTCAGAATTCAAATGAATCTATTAATATACTATCTTTGTTAATGAAAACAGGAACAATGCCATGGCAAATAAATAATAATAAATAATAATAAAGAAAATAATCTCCCTCTACCACTTTTAAGCTCTAAGACTTTGGGCAAGTCACTTAATCTTTGGGCTTCAGTGGTTTCATGAAGAGGTTAGTAATAGGGCAGCCCCAGTGGCGCAGTGGTTTAGCGCCGCCTGCAGCCCGGGGTTTGATTCTGGGGACCCTGGATCAAGTCCCACGTCAGGCTCCCTGCACGGAGCCTGCTTCTCCTTCTGCCTGTGCCTCTGCCTCTCTCTCTCTCTCTGTCTCTATGAATAAATAAATAAAATCTTTAAAAAAAAAAAAAGAGGTTAGTAATATGCAAGCCTACTGAAAGTTCACATTTTCTGAAGTCATCTACCACTACTAAGACCTAGTAACTGATGGTTCTAATAATAAAGAAGAAAATAAAAAACACTTCTCCCTTCTCCCCAGATTTTCTTGCACAGAGTAGAAGACTGCAAAGAGAGCCATTCTCTAGAGACTCCTGAGTACAGAACAATGCAGAAGGCCTTGAGAAATAACATCAACAATAGTAAGAATATTCCCTTCTAACTGCATAAAATTCATGTCACAAAATGCACTCCCCTCCTTTAAGAGAACATCATTTCCTCAAGGGACACAAACTTTCTGAAACGTTCAGATTACGCCAGGCTCCCCATCTCCACCTCCCAGCGCCACATATTTTCTTCTTCCACCCACCCTATAATTCTCCCTTATGGCACATGACACCCTTGAAACACTTACTTGTAATGATGTTTGCTAATTGTCTTCACTAAACTGAAAGCTTCATGAAGGGGAAGTGGTCCATTTTACTCAAAGAATCCCCCATGCCAAATAAAGTGCCTGCCTGGCAAATGGTTGATGTTCAAATATTTATTGCGGGTCTCAATTAATCTTTATAGCAGCTCAGGAAAGTAGGTGAGGTAAGGCCTCCCCTCCATCTCCTAACTGGTTACACACAAATCTGGGACTCAGACTCCAGGCCTTCTTATTCCCAGTTGAGGACATACCCCACCATCATGCTGCCTTTGCCCCCAAAGAGTGATTTTAATATACATTGGCATCCAAAGAGGATGAGTTAGTTGGTGTCACCCTCTGTTCATATCAGTTTAGCTGAGAAGACTAATGAGGGACCAGTGGTCCCTGTCCCCAAACAGTGGCACAAAGCTCTCCTTTGATCTGAAGTTGCAGCTGCTCTTTATGATGTACATGAAAGTCTGTGTGTGCTGAAGGCGACCATACAGATGTTATGGCTTTTGCTGGGACAAAAGCTATTTCTCTGCTCTGCTTTAAACCTAGGGACATGGTTCCCCTCTGCCAGGATGTGTCTTAGAACAACAGACTATTGTTTTAACACCACAATGAGCCTTGAAAAACACTTGTCATTGAATTTAATACTGTCAATCATTAGAAATCACTATGTTCTCATGATTGGCACATCTTGAGAGCAGCTTTGAGAGTTAAAACCACTGAAATATTTCCTAGAACGCTGACTGAATGGCCTTGCCAAAATGTAGGCTGCCTACATAGGCCTGTTCTCATAGGGGGCTGCCTATGTCTAGCCTCGGAGTTGATTCTTAAGAATATCCATATTCCACTGCCTTTATCATTTAATTAGGTTTTACTATTTTCTATGCAACTCATTCGCTCCTTTTCAGCATTTATATGCCATTAATATATGCAGAGTGCTGTGCTAGGCACAGGAAGGATACAAAGATGAATACAACACAATTTCTAATCTCAAAGAGTTCACAGGGAGCTTGTCTAAAGGAAGGGCAAACACAGTAAACTGACCATAATAAAACAGGAGATGTTCTTCTATTAAACAGGTGCCAGCAGGAGAGAATCTCTCCTAGTTTTTAATCTCATGCTGGTCAATATGTTCTCAATACTGCAGCCATGGGCTTTCTAACCATCCTCCTCTCCCTCAGGGGGATCCACTGTTCACCTACGCTCTTTGTACCACTGCTTCTCTCTATTGTCTCGCAGTTGCAATAATGCATTGCAGTCACAGGTGTACTTGAGTGCCTCTTTATTAGACAGTCATTTGAGGGCAACTGCTGTCTCTCACTGAATCTTATGCTCCAGGGCCTTCCGAACAGAGTATATGGTACATGGTGGACACATTTGAAAAATGGCTAGCCAAATGAAAAAAGGATGACAGACTCACAAAGAAAGGGCTGATTAATTTTGCTTAAATGATTAGTAGGATATTAAAGAAGGTTTCACACATAAAATGTTTCACGAGTTCCTAGCTGACAACGAGTTCCTAGAAGGCAAGAATGCTTTACCTAACACAGGGCTCAGCATGCACCATCTACTATACCATAATATAGGTATATGGATGAATGAACAGATGGTCAAGTGAGAAAATACATGTGCATATGTTCAAGACATTCTTATCTATGCAATATATAACTGATTACAAAGACAGCCAGCAAATCTTCTATTTATATCATAATTAATCTCCTAAGGTTAAAATGTTGTAGTCTGAGCTTAATGTTTTGCTTGCTTCTCATTTACTTATGACAGACTTTTAAAAAATGGATAGGAGAAAACTCTACAACTTTTTTTTTTAAAGCTGTTCTTTTTTTTTTTTTAAATACTTATTTATTTATTTATGATAGACATATATAGAGAGAGGCAGAGACACACGAGGAGGGAGAAGCAGGCTCCATGCCAGGAGCCCGACGCAGGACTTGATCCCAGGACTCCAGGATCGTGCCCTGGGCCAAAGGCAGGCGCTAAACTGCTGAGCCACCCAGGGATCCCCTACAACTGTTTTAATTGAATTTTCTACTCAAGGTCATTTCAAAATGCAGACCACTTTAAGAGAAGGGCCTCAACTTTGCCTTTAGTGAGTTGGCACTAAGGCTTAATCACCAGAAGAATTTTTCTAAGAGTTTTGATTCTCTGTCTTCAATCCTGGAAGCCATCCTAAAAGGAATGACACTTGGGGCACCTGGGTGGCCCTGGGAAAGAAAGAGAAAGAAGAAAGAAGAAAGAAGAAAGAAAAGAAAGAAAGAAAAGAAAAGAAAAGAAAAGAAAAGAAAAGAAAAAAGAATGAAAGAAAGAAAGAAAGAAAGAAAGAAAGAAAGAAAAGAAAGAAAGAAAGAAAGAAAGAAAGAAAGAAAGAAAGAAAGAAAGAAAGAGTAAGTAAGTAGGGGCTGAGGCCAGGTGATGAGAAGTCAGGAGAGAGAGCTGGGGTGTGGTGCCACCGTGGCAGTCCCCAGGCAGGTGATCCTGCACAAACCACCAGTAGATTCTCTTTCCCACTGACCCTAAGGGACTCTGAGAAAGCCTGCAAACTGCTTGCAAAAAGACACTTAACCATCACAGAGAAGAGGTATTCAGTAAGCATGAAAGAACAAAGACAATAAGACAACAACTGTGTCGTTAGTGAAACTTGGGTAGCTTTGCCCTCTTTCACTGAAAAACTAAAGAAGTTGCTCCTGTGTGTCCACGTCCTAATGAAGACCCCGGATGAATGTGGTTTGAGAGGGTCATTCTAGATCTGGATTCCACATGTATGGCTAGAAAGAAACTCAAGCAAATTAGTTAGGACTAATTAATTTAGGAGATTAACTAATTTACTTTTTAAAGATGGAGGTCCAGAGGCCTAATAGGGTGGCGAGACAGTAACTGTGCCATGGATGGGGAGAGGGGTAAGACACAAACCCTGTTCCTGAGAAGCCTGTGGTTTTGTGGTAGAGTTGGATGTTATGAAAAGATGGATTTTAGCTGAGTGTAATAAGGGCTTAACAATGAGGTTATGGTTTGCAGAAAATGGAATACATGTAATCCCTGAACCTGGGGGATTCAAAGGAGAAAAATAAGCCTGTTCTTTAATAGTGGGGACAATTTCTTATTCACCTCTATTCATTCCCAGGGCCTGGCACATAGTAGGTGCTAACATTTCTGGTCAAACGAATAAACTCACTTATACATGTGTATATGACTAGGAAATCCAAACATCTGGAAGTAAAATGCCTGAAACACTAGTTTACTCAACTCCTAGGGTTGAAGATCACCTCCACTCTGCTGGAACAATAGTTACAAGTGGCTCTTCCTGTCAGTACTTCCTGGATGCACACTCCTGTCTCCTTCCTACTCCCACACCTTAGCTCCTTCTCCCCAGCTTAATGCACTATTTTTCTGAGCATGCTGGTTAGCATTTACATGGATTTCACACCCTGCTTTGTTTTTCAGCGCCCCTAGCTCTCCATTCACTATTGTATTCGGTGTGCTTGTCTCTGCAGAAGGAATCACTTTGAGGAATGGGGCTGGAAGAGACACTGGGAGAGCTTCTGTCCTCCACTCAGAAGCCTCACCCTACACGCTTCTCTATGTATCTCTGAAATGCTGCAAGGGCACCTTGGAGCTTCTCTGCCCTTCCTGAGACATTTGAAGGCAGGAGCGCAGGTACATATGGGAGGAGGATGGAAAAGACATGGATTTAAACTTCAGATCCCTGGGTGTTATGCTATATGTTGGCAAACTGAACTCCAATAAAAAATTTTTTTTAAATAATAAACAAACAAACAAACAAACTTTGGATGCTTCGATTGGGATCTAGCTGGAAATCTGATGCCACAGTTTTCATTGCGCTGCTGGTGCCAGAGTGGAATTTCACTAACTCTGAGAGGCAGGCAGAGCTCTGAGCCAAAGATCAACCTCTCTACCTTCCTCCACGTAACGATGTATTAGGTGCTCAGTAAACACTATTTCCCTTCTCCCGTTACTAGCCATATCATGGTTCTTACAGGTACCAAACTGTCCAGAGACCACAGAGGGGAAGAGAATGATCATGGATTCTTCCTGGACCCCTCATTTAGAATCTCTCCCTTGTTACAAATAGGGGTATGGTGGGAGACACATTAAATCCAATAAGTGATTCATATGACCAAATGACCCATAACGAATGCAGGAATCAGTAGGCTCTTTCACGGGGCCTCCGTTCTTAAGAGGTAGCACTGCTTACTGTCCTAACTCCAGGACTTCCTGAAAAGAAATTTCTTCCTTGTTTATACATCACCTCTGACATGACAGGAGACAGGACCAATTTGCCTTAGACCTTCTCTCTGTCTTCCCATCTAGAAATACAACATCTACAAAGGGAATTTAAGAACTCTGGAAATAAGTCACCATGGCTGAATATATTATTTTCAGTGCAGGTTTCCATTAGATTCAATACATGTTATGAAAAGGCTTTATCCAGGGCTCTTGGGTGGCTGAGTTCGTTAAGCATTAGCCTTCAGCTTGGGTCATGATCCCAGGATCCTGCTTCTCCCTCTGCCTATGTCTCTGCCTCTCTCTCTCGGTCTCTCATGAATAAATAAATAAAATCTTTAAAAAATAATAATAATAAAATAAGATAAATTTTAAAAAAGAAAATACTACTTCCTCGCAGCACAATGAAAGCCTAACTGAACACTTAGCATCTTACCTTTACTTTTTCACCATTAATCTCCACCGTCTTAATCATAAAATCAACTCCAATTGTGGCTCCTTGCCCTGGGGGGAAAAGACCCTAAAGAGGAAATAAGGAAAATAATTAAGCAAACCTTTCAATTAAATGAAATTCTCTCCCCTTCCCACCACCCTCATCACTACCCATCATCAGCTCCTTCCTTTGGCTGAGTTAACTAGAAGAAAAGAGAACTCTGGCTAGTGTCATGAGAGCATTGTTTAATTTAATTTTGTATGTATGCTTTGAGGGGAGGAGGCAGGAGGGAGAAAGTTGGAGAGAGGAATGCTAAAAGAAGAAGAGAGTGAAAAGGGGGACATGAAAGGGGGACATGAAAGGGGGAGCAAGGCAGAGAGGGTGGAGGAAGAGAACTGGGAAGGGACAGGGACCTAATTTCAAAGACTAAAACTCAGACACAGGATGAGATTGAGGAGCACAAAGACGTAGGGATGAGACCAGGTTTGTTGGACAAGGAGCAAAATGGACAGGTGCTCCCAGAGAGGTCAAATCCAGGAAGACTGAAACTGGTTGTGAGTCTAGGACCTGGACAGTCATGGGAGTGGACAACCAACACAGACAAGAACTCACTACCAGAAACCTGAATGAGACAGTGAGGCTTTTGAATTTCCCTCTGCTCTGAGGGTAATAATCAGTTCTCTCCATGCAATGTACCACATATATGGAATTAAATGAAATCAGAGCCCCTGACACTGGGAAGATAAGAGAAGAAAACAGAATCATTCAGGGAAAAAGTAAAGTAGGAGGGCACTAAACCCAAGGTGGAGGTCGGAGGACCTCTGTGTAGCCTCAGGCAATCCAGTTCCCCTCTCTGGGTCTCAAATTCAATGAGTTTGAGGCTGACACAAACATTTCAAAACAAAACAAAACTGTACTTCAAACTGGATGCTCAACTAGAAAGATGGGATTTTAGCAAAACCACATGTACAATGCACGTCATTACTGGTATATAATATTTCCTGCAGGCTTATGGAGGAGCATGGAGGTGGGAAGGAATTCTATAAGGAAAAGTTCTTCACCTAGTTTCTATTGCCTCTTCACTTAGATTCCAGAGTTGCCAGAAACTGAAGCAAAATGGACTTTATTAGCTCTGGCAGCTAAGATTGGGGTATCTTTAATTAAGTCTATTCCCCAACAATAATTAAAGTTTGAACTTAAAAGACTGAGCTTCAAACCCACAGAAAATATTCCATTGCATGTCTGCAAAAAATGTAAATATAAACATTCATAACTGTACTTACAATTATTGAATCAATTTTCCTCTATTTTGGTTTGGCTCAAACACAAGGCTGCCAAGCTTCGAGTTTATCGCTCCAGCTGTTTTGCAGTCTAATAAATGCCAAAAAAATAAAACAAATCCTTCCCAATGTCTCCCCCATCATTTTGTTCCTCAACTCCTCATGCCTCAAAAACAGCTGAATCCAATTCAATTTAACTGCCTGCTAAATAACAAAACTAAACATAATACTGCCTAGGGAATATGACTTTTGAGGGGAGTTAAGGGGCTGGGAGGAGTAAAAAAGTAGAAAAGAAAGGAGTGGTGTGCTTATTGGTAGAAATTAGCATTTAGAAATGTAAGCATTTTTACCTTTAATGACAGTTTATTCTTTTAAAGAGAAAAGCCAGATTCCTATGGTCTCAGAGGTTAGGACACAGAAAATAAAAATTCAGGCTGAGAACTGGGAGACGTGGGTTCTAATCTGAGCCTCACCACTAACATGATGTACAATGCTAAGAAATCATTTCGTCCCTGTAGACCTCAATTTCTCATCTGTATAATGAGAGGAGTAGACTGAATAATCTCTAAGGGATCTTTCAGTAATAAAACAAGGTCAAGGGAACTTTTGATAAAGAGACTAAAAACTCCTCCACGTCTCTGCACACTTCTCTTCCTGCCAAAAGCAGAAAAGATTACTGTTAAGTGGAAGTAAAACCAGGTGGAGTTTCCAGTTAATGCCAGGGTGGCTGACTGAGCCCAGATGTCTGGTGGCTTCTTACTTTTGATTTCACCAGGTCCAGGCTTAATAAAAAGCATAGGTTCTAGTCTGTGTTCACTTACCCTGGGAAAAACCCTGGCATTTCCAAAGGTGACTCTGCCCTAAAGCTGTCTGTGTCATACATTCTGCCTCTCGGGTTTGCACAGAATCACAGACTGTCAATGCTGGAAGTAACCTTGAAGATCAGCAGGCCCCTTGAGTGGGGCAGGAAGCTGGACAGGGGAGTAACTTATCCAGGCTCACAGGATGAGCCAGGGCAGGGCTGGGACCAGGACCCCGGTCTCCACACTCAAGCTGGTGCTCTATCCACAGCACCTGGCTGTCCTAGGCCTTAGCAGTGCTAGTCTCAGCTTTCCTTGCACTTTATGAAAATGCAAGATGTATACATGATAATCCTGAAAAGGATGCCATTCATATTTTTCCAGGGAAAACACAAAAGAAGGTTAACTTCAGAATGATTTCTGTATAAATCATTTTTGTATAATAACAGGCCTATAATCTCTGGCAGTAATTCTCAAAAGGGCAGTCTCAAAGGGAACTTGTACTTGGATCATATAGTAAGGACTCAACCCAGAGGGAACATTCCATTCCATTCATATAGTCCTTCACTGTCCTCATTTCATTCCCATTTAATAGCCTTAAAAACATCAGCATATTCAGTTCTAAACCAAAATGATTCGCTCAGTTGCCTAAGAGGATGTAAGAGAGCATAGAGAGGGAGTTTGGTTGGTTTAATTTGTATTTGAGTTTTTAAAAAATTAAATACTTAGGCTTAGTGTGATGTCCAGATTGTTGACGCTTTTAGATTATTAACTGACTAGTAAAACAGATTATTAATCTGTTTTAATCCAATAATCCATTTTTGAGATTATACACTGAAAGCAAAACCATTTGCTCCTTTCATAAAGGAAGCACACAAAATGTGGGAGGATTGGTGGTGACCCACAGAGCCATACTCCCCTGAGATGGCTGAAAAATGTCTAGCTTAAGCTTTAAAGCTGGTGCACTTTCAAAGGGCACATGAAGAACTGGCAACCAAGAGGCCAGTGCTGCAACCAGTCATCCATTCTCTTCAGGTCACCTAACCCCACGTTAGACCGAGAAACCCAACCCTGAACTTCCAAGTTCTCTTACCTGAGTGAATCGTCGGACTAGGCACGTCTTCCCCACACCAGCATTGCCAATTAAAACAATTTTAAACAGGAAATCATAATCTTCCATACTCATTTACACAGCTGCAAGGCAAACACAGGCGAGAGTGAGATGGGGCCTGGTCAGACTTGCCCACAGAGCTCAAGCTGAGCCAGCCTTGTCACCTCAGGAACAACAGATCTGACTCATTTGGAGAGCAATTTAATGCTCCCCTCTGGTGATTTGCCAGTGAGGGAGAAACACGGGTGTTTGGTCACAGAAGAACTTTACTCCTTCCCAGTCACCTCAAGCCACACAAATGTCCTTTCACCTGGTAACCTTTATTCTTCCAAGTCCTCAGGTCACAGCTCACTCACGTGGTAAGATCTGTTTTCTTTCAGCATGGCAAGAAGATTACAGCCTATATGCAGACACACTGGGGTGCAAGGAAGCAGGAACAAAGGAGAGCCCGTCCAAAGCTTCAAGGTAGTTTATTCGTGTATGATACATGCCTATGGGAAGAATGCCAAGGGACCAGGAGACTGAATGAAGGGGAAGGATCTAGAAAGAAACCTTTCAGTCAGTCCCCTGCAAGTCCTGGGCGTCTTGGGGTCTTAACTGTGGGAGTTCTTGCCATCTTCCCCCTACCACCACCCCACTGCTATACACCTTCTGCCAGCACTTCCCAAGGTGCCTATCTCCTCATTCCTATGAGCTGTGGCATTTGTCACATCCTCTGCCCAGGAGGGCCTCGCTCACACCCTTTTCTGTGCCACCAAGTCAATCTTTTAAAGCCAAATGCAAGCATCTTTTCCTCTGTTGTTTTTTTTTTGAAGATTTTATTTATTTATTTCGAGACAGAAAGAGGCAAGAGAGCACAAGCAGGGAGGAGAGGGAGAAGAGGGAGAGGGAGAAGCTGACCCCACCGAGCAGTGAGCCCGAACTGGGGCTCCATCTCTAGACCCTGGGATCATAACCTGAGCTGAAGGCAGACACTTAACCGACTGAGCCACCAGGTGCCCCTCTCTCTGACTTTTTCACTGCTCTTTCCCGGTAAAGTTAAATAAACATTTTCATCATTCCTCTGTCCTAAAACTTCAAATGTCTGCCTCATCCTTGAGGGAAGGGATCACCTCCTTCGGCTCTAGTTTCCTAGCCCACGCATGGGACAGTTCTATTTAGTAAATGTGTACTCTGCAGAATTAAAGAGTTAATTAATAGGCCTATTGCTCAAGCGTTGGCTTTAGTTGCTTCAGTTGTGCTGAAAAGAATACTACATGCTCTGTCTACTTCAGAGGACAGTTGCAAAGATCTTTTTAAAAACTGTACAAAAGAGCCTTGGTACCCACAAAGCTCTATCCTGGTGAAAACCATTATTATCTATCGAGTACCTACTATAGGACTGTGCTAATTGTGGTAGGAAATACAGAGATGAGAAGGTCTCTGCCCTGGAGACTAATGTGAGAAAAGTCAAACCACCACGACAAAGTTAAATACAATTCAAACCAGCAGTGGAGCTCATTTCATAGAAGCAAGCAGAACAAGGCTGGTGGATTCTGGAGGAAGAGGAGGACAACCAGCGAGCCCATGAGGGAAAGGGCGTCTGGGAGAACTGGAAGAAGGCCCCCAGGTTACTCCTCCCAGTGGAGCTAAAGCTCAGGTGGCTGCAGGGTTACAGAGTCGAAAGCCCACTGCAGGAGACCTGCCGAGTAGCTAGGGGAGCAGATTCCCTGTGTGCAAAGATGTTTTCTGCGTGGGTTTTAACTTATCCTTGGAAAGATGACTGACCATGCCAACATGCATGTGCCTGGCAGCTCATGGGGTTCCCTCCCAGTTCACTGGGACTGTGAAGGAAAACAGTTCTCTGTCAAGAAACTGGGGCCATAAGCAGTGTTGAGTTCACTAATATGCCAGGCACTATACTTGGCACTTCAGGTATATTTCCATTTGTTTTTACAAGTCTCTGAGGCTGGTATGTATTAATACGTTACCTATTTTCCAGGTGAGTAAACTGAGGGTAGCCTGCAGTCACAATAATAGCCAGAGTTCAAGTTCAGAAGGCATATGGTGTCACCAAAAGAACGCTAGCCTTGGAGTCGGAGAAACCAACGTTCAAATCTCGACTCTACTATCTTCTTAGACTATGCCTCTAGGTAAGTGAAAATTTTTGGAAGCTTCAATTTCTCCATTGACAAAATGAAGCTAGTAACACCTTGATCACAGAGTTGTGATGCTTAAAGGGATTATTGTCCCCCAAGGACAATACCTGGCTCTTAGTCACCGAAACTCCTATGACAGCGGTTTTCCATGGTCTGGTTCTGCCTTCATTGCCAGCCCCTACCTCTCACCACTCTGCTCACACTCCATGCTCTAGGCTCGCTGGATTTCTTCAGTTCCTTAACGCCGTAGGGCCCCTTTCCCTTTCAGACTTTCACAAATCCTGTTAACATCTGTTTGGAACATAGGACACAACCTCCCCTCATCACCACTCCCCAGCCCAGCTGACTTTTAGTTGTTCTTTCAATTTCACTTAAATATCACTCTCTTTGACCTGTGAGGAATCCGACCCCCTGCTATATGCTCACGATACCCTTCCCCATCCTATAGTCATACTCACCATGCTTAATGTATTTATTTGTATTTGTCTTATGCTCCAAGTCCATCCGTCAGCACCTCCACCCCAAACACACACACACACACACACACACACACACACACACACACACACACGACTGTGAACAGCATGAAAACAATGATGTGTCTATCTGGTTGAGTCCCCATCCTAACCCCTCCCCATTATTGTCACTGTCATCCTTGCCACTATTATCATCATCATCATCATCATTTCATTCTATATCATTAACTCATTTAACCCTCACAACACTCCTAACAGTTGTACACTATTAGCATCCTAACTTGATATATAGAGATACTAAGGCACAGGAGAAGCTAAAAAAGAAGACATTAAGGTCCCACTTAACTGGTACGGCTGGAATTCAAACCCAGATAGCCTAGGTCCAGTCCCGGTGGACATCCTTGACACACTACTTGTAGTGCCTTTCCCCATGCCTGGCTTGTGGCAGGAGCTTAAGAAAGGTCTGATGAATTGAATGATAAAGGGAAGCACTCAATAAACTGTGATCTCCTTTTTGTCTTCCCCTCTGGTTTCGCATCCAAAACTCTTTCCACCACACTACAGTAGTTTAAATAGGAATCAAGGACAGGGGGTGCCTGGGTGGCTCAGTTGGTTAAGCGGTTAAGCATCTGCCTTTGGCTCAGGTAATGATCTCAGGGTCCTGGGATCCAGCCCCATATGGGGCTTCCTGCTTGGCAGGGAGTCTGCTCCCCCTCCCCCAGCTCACTGTCTCTCCTCCCCCACCCCTCATTTTCTCTGTCTCTCTCAAATAAATAAATAAAATCTTTAAAAAAAATCAAGGACATACTCCAGATAAAAACTCAAGGACATGGTATGTTAATTAAATTCAAGAAAGCTGTTCAAAGTAAAAAAAAAAAAAGAAAAGAAAAAAATTCAAGGATGGAGACAAGGATAGCAGGGGACATGAGGTTCTGTGGGCCCCACATGGACCACAACTCAGTGCTTTTATTAGCCAGTGAACAGAGCACAGGACTAAGCATCTTTCTGTGCTTAGGTTATATGCCATTTATTTACTCCTCCACCTTTAGCAGAAGTCAAACACACAGAGAATTCAGAGGAGAATGTCCAAAAATAACGGCCTGAGAAACAGGGCTCCCAGAAGGCTTACTGTGCCCAAATTCTGCACCTTCAGGAAAAGAAGGGGAAGAGTTCCTTGGTCAGAGTCAATGCTGAATCAGGTCTCATGTGGCTTCTACCTGGAGAGAGCCATGGAAGCCGTGAAAGACAAGATAAGAAAGGCCTCCTCCTTTCTATAAGAAATTACTTCAATGTTCTGTTGAATATTTTTGTTTGTTTGTTTTTGTGTTTTGTTTTGTTTTTTAATAAACCTCTAGAGAAAAAGTGTTTGGTCTCTTTAAAAATGCAGGCCGTCTGGGGCTAAAGCTGGACAGTAAACTCTGGGTTACCTGCACTGGTTACTGTTCTGTTTCTTTTTTTCTTTCTTTCTCTTTTTTTCTTTTTAAAGATTTTATTTATTTATTCATGAGAGACACAGAAAGAGAGGCAGAGACACAGACAGAGGGAGAAGCAGGCTCCATGCAAGGAGCTCAATGCGCGACTTGATCCCAGGAATCCAAGATCAGGCCCTGAGCCAAAGGCAGATGCTCAACTGCTCAGCCACCCAGGCTGTTCCATTTCTAATAGGAGGGCAGCCTTGGTGGCTCAGCGGCTTAGCGCCGCCTTCAGCCCAGAGTGTGATCCTGGAGTCCCGGGGATCTAGTCCCATGTCAGGCTTCCTGCGTGGAGCCTGCTTCTCCCTCTGCCTGTGTCTCTGCCTCTCTCTCTCTCTCTTTCTCTCTCTCTCTCTCTCTCTCATAAATAAAAAAATAAAATAAAATCTATTTCTAGTAGGAAACACACTGCTGAATGAAAAGCTCATAGGAATCTCTGAAAACTATGCTCTGAGGAAGCACTGCTGATCGGGAAGTAAGATAAAAGCTCAGGCATCACCAAGGGCCGTGGGATAAGATAGCATCCCAGGAGGTGGAAACTCATTCAGAATCAGCTTGTGACACACAGCCCTAAATTGACAACAAAAGTCACATCTTGTCTGGGGAGCAAGTATGTCATAAGAAATGCTACTGATCAAGCACTATTCTAGGGATTTTATATGCTATGATTGTTAATAATAATAATCACTGACACATAGCCAATGCTTACAATGAGTCAGGTACTCTTCTACATGTATGTACTCGTTTAATTCTCGCAACAACCCTATGGGGCAGGTATTATCCTCATCATTCTCAGCTTACAGAAGGAGAAATTGAATTACAGAGACATAATCCTGAAGTCACATAGCTAGTCTTAGGACCAAGATTCAAACCCAGATCTGTCTGGCTCCTCCCAAAATAGGATGCTGCTGTCCCCTGCCCTACAACAGACAGCACTGCTGCACCTGTCCTAAGAGCTGGAGGCACAGTTGAATGGAACCTCCCAACCCCTGTGAGC